ATATAAATCATTGCATTAAATCCATGGACGAGTGTAATACACTGTAACGTCCAATTCTCGGTAAAATTGAAAAGCTTCGCGATGAACCGTAATACTTTCCTTAAATTGTATGACAAATCTTCTGTGTAAACTAACTTTCCTGACGTAATACTAATATACTCATTGGTGAAATTTTTTGTATGCAAATTTTCGTGCAATGCAATTTTTTTAATATCACTATTTTGTGTGTTTTACGATCAGTTTGATGGTAATATAGCTGTATCGTATATGTAGTGTAAGCTCTGGGTATTTCGCATACATTTAGCACGTTCCTCCATTTAAGAAACGATACTGTACGATTGCTCAATCCTTAACTACTGAAGTCATCATCCTCTTACTTTGTTCAATTTCCACTCGTACCTTTACCTTTCTCGTTATTCGTGAATAACTGGCAAGAAATTGCACCGAACTAACAATGTTTATTGAGAAAAAATTCAAAATTATTCCTGTCCAAATCAAATTGTCAATAATTTTCTCTCTGTTTTTGAACGTTGGTCTATTTTTACAATTTTCCCACTTTCTTTAAAATTCTTGGCTCAGAGGTGTTCTTTGGGAGTTGAACATTCCTGGCAAACGATATTGCCACGTTCGTTCGAATTCCTGGTGCTCAGTACAAACGTGTTTAAAATGAAGCTCGACCACCAGTGTTCACTTAACAGAAAATTCAAAATTATTCTCGTCCGAATTTAATCAAAACTTTTCTATCCACTTTCGAAGCTGTTCCATTTTCTTCAAAATTCTTGGCTCAAGAGGGGCTTTTGGGAATTTCTGGCGAACTATACAGTCGCGAGCAATGTTCACTTGACAAAAAATTTTTAATTATTCTCGTCCAAATCTAATTCACATTAAAAGTAACAAATTTCCAAAAATTTTTCCACGTTTCTTGAAAATTCTTGGCTCAGAAGAGTCCTTTGGGAATTTAAAATTATTCTCGCCCAAATCTAATGCAAGTTAAAACTAACAAATTTTCAAAAATTTTCTCTCCACTTTCGAAACTTTTCCGTTTCCTTGAAAATTCTTGGCTCAGAAGAGTCCTTCGGGAGCT